GGGCCAGCCTTGGGGAGGGGGTGGTAGGGGAGCCTCTGGCCAAGATGGATGAGGCCCATTGACAGTGGAGCGGAAAGGCCTTGGTCCCTGCCTCCCAATGCTTCTTGGTTATCCATCAGGCATCTCTGAAAGGTGCAATTTAGACTCTATTATGATGCTGAGGCCTCTAGAGGCTGAGGACTGTGACTGTGAGCTGAGCGGGAACAGATGTCCATGCCAGAGTGCGGTGGCTGGCCTTGGCTTTGGCCTTAACAAGTTTGCCCCTGCTTAGGGCACTGCCCCGGAACAGCCAAGTACAAAGGCCATCTGTATCCCCTGGGTCAGGACTCAGTAGCCAACAGACCAGGGAGGAGGTGTGTCCTCCAGCCAGATCCTGCCCCCCACCCACCTGGCACAGGTGCTCCTAGACTCAGACGACCCTGGAGACTGAGGCCACGTGGCCTGTGCGCAGGCCTGAGTCTCCCTGTCTCTGGCACCTGCCCTGTGCTACCTGCCTGCTTGTAAGTGCCTTGAGGCAGGACCTCCAGCTCCACGGGCCTGGCTCAGTGCAGAAGGGAGAGACATGCAGTGGGAAATCTGGGCTGGCTGTGACCTTGGCTGGGCCCCTCATGTCTCTGAGTCTCAGGCTGCTGGGCTGAGAAATGAGGACTGCCTTTGCAGCGACCTCTGCACCCTTGCCTGTGCAGGGGAGTGGGCGAGGTCTGGCCGGAGAGGTCACCCCACCCCCTGGGCTTATCCCGATCCTCTAGCGGCTGATGTGTCCGGCTCTGCACACTGTCCTGGCCTTCAAGCCCATCCTCTCTCCCAATCTGGCCAAGTATCCTTCCCAGTCTCCGATGTAACAATAGGTGAGGTGGCCAGATCAGGGCTGGGGCAGCCTGGGAGGCCCTGGGCAAAGCAGGCAAGAGGCTTGAGGGAGAGTAGGTACCTCCGTGAAGGTCTGAGAATGCTCAGCCTGGGCCCCAGGACTGTGTCCGGGCTGCTGGGGGATCAGTCCTCCGCAGAGTATGGAGTCAGGCGCTGGCATGCTGCAGCCACACAACCCTGGGGTGGAATCCAGACCTCACCTCCTTCTGCCCCGGACCGGTCTTTGTGCCTCCATCCCTCACCTACAGAACGAGTCCATCAGTTTCTCCTTTATTTAGTGATCATCTGCCACGCAGGAAACACCATGAATAAGATGCACAAATCCCTGCCCTCACAGAGCACCTTCCAGTGGGGAGACACAATAAAAACAAAACAGGTAAAACATGCAGCATGTTAGTTGGGGGTAAATACTACAGATAAACAAGGAACCGAGAGGAGTCTCTGGGGGTTATAATTCTCAATGGGGTGCCCAGGGAAGGCCTCACCGGAAGAAAATTTGGGCGTGACTCTGGAGATGAGCTGTCCAGGCAGAGGGCACAGCACGTGCAAGGGCCCTGGGGGTACCGGGGGGTGCTCGGCTGCTGCAGTCAGTGAGAGGGGAATGGAGTGGACAAGGCCAGTGGGGGTGCCACACAGGACTGCATGGGGCCTCAGCAGCCACCATGATGACTGTGGCGACTGACTGGGCAGAGACCCCATAAATGCAAAGGGAGCATTTTGAGTGTTCAAGGGTGAGTGGCAGAGGCAGTCACCACGGCAGGGTCCCTTCTGTCACTAGTGCCAAGTCACACTAGGCCCATGCAGTTCATTCAGTGACATGAAAACACCAGTCATGAAACAGTGTGACTGCAACCCACAGAATGCTGCAAGCCTCGAGACTGCCGAGATTCGGGCTCCTCCAAGACGGCCTGGGTTCCTCCTACCTGGTCTCAAGGGGTCTTGACTGAGTTAATATCTCTGAGCTTCAGTTTTCACATCTGTGAAATGGGTTTAAGAGCACTGACCTCATGTTTGCTGGGAGGGTTAAATGACTTAAATAGTAGAAAAGCTCTAAGCAAAGTCTTTATTATAGTGTGAGCTACCATTCATCCCACCAGAATGGAATCCCAAGTGGCTAAAACAGGGCCTGGAATATAGCAGATGCTCAATAAAGCTCTGATGGATTAATGGATGGAGGGATGGAGGGATGGATGGATGGAGGGAGGGAGGGAGGGAGGGATGGAGGGATGGATGGAGGGAGGGAGGGATGGATGGAGGGAGGGAGGGAGGGATGGATGGAGGGATGGAGGGAGGGAGGGAGGGAGGGAGGGATGGAGGGATGGAGGGAGGGATGGATGGAGGGATGGGCAGGTGCATGCATGAATGGATGGATGGATGAATGTACAGGTGGATGGATGGATGGTTAGGTGGGTGGGTGGACGGGTGGATGGATGGATAGATGGATGGATGGAGGGATGGATGAATGGAGGGATGGATGGATGGAGGGATGGATGGACAGGTGGGTGGATGGATGGATGGATGGATGGACAGGTGCATGCATGGATGGATGAATGGATAGGTGAATGCATGGATGAATGGATGGTTAGGTAGGTAGGTGAGTGGGTGGATGGATGGATGGATGGACAGACGGACAGGTGGATGGATGGGCAGGTGCATGCATGAATGGATGGATGGATGAATGTACAGGTAGATGGATGGATGGATGGATGGTTAGGTGGGTGGGTGGATGGGTGGATGGATGGATAGGTGGATGCATGGAGGATGGATGGATGATAAATGGACAGGTGGATGCATGGATGAACGGATGGTTAGGTGGGTGGGTGGATGAATGGATGGGTAGATGCATGGACTGATAGCTGGATGGATGATGAATGGACAGGTGGATGCATGGATGGATGGATGGTTAGGTGGTTGGTTGGATGAATGGATGGGTAGATGCATGGATGGACAGATGGATGGATGATGAATGGACAGGTGGATGCATGGATGGATGGACAGGTACATACATGAATGGGTAGATGGATGAATGGACAGATGGATGCATGGATGGACGGATGGTTAGGTGGGTGGTTGGATGAATAGATGGGTAGATGCATAGATGGATAGATGGATGGATGATGAATGGACAGATGGATGCATGGATGGATGGATGGTTAGGTGGGTGGTTGGATGAATGGATGGGTAGATGCGTGGATGGACAGATGGATGGATGATGAATGGACAGGTGGATGCATGGATGGATGGATGGACAGGTATATACATGAATGGGTAGATGGATGAATGGATAGATGGATACATGGGTGGATAGATGGTTAAGTGGGTGGGTGGGTGGATGGATGGATGGATGGATGGATGGATGGATGGACAGGTGGATGCATGATGGATGGATGGATGAATGGACAGGTGTATGCATGGATGAATGGATGGTTAGGTGGGTGGGTGGATGGACAGGTGGATGCATGATGGATGGATGGTAGGCAGATGGATAGATGTATGGATGAATAGATGGACAGGTGCATGCATGGATGAATGGATGGGTTGGTAGGTGGATGGCTGGAAGGATAGACAGGTGGATGCAGGGATGGATGGACAGGTGCATGCCTGAATGAATGGATGGATGGATGAATGAACAGGTGGGTACATGATAGACAGATGGATGGTGGACAGATAGATGGATGGATGGATGGATGGATGAATGGATGGTGGGTGGGTGGGTGGGTGGACAGATGGATGGGCAGAGCAGAGGGAAGCTCTATCAGGGGCCTCAGGAAAACCTGGCAGAGGAGGTGACATTTGAGCTGGGTCCTGTAGCGTGAAGAATAGTTTGCTTGATGGAAAGAAAAAGCAGCCCAGGAATAGAGAAAGACAGAGAAGAGAGAAAGTTTGGCCCAGTTGAGAAACAGAGACATCCAGTCCCTGGGGGTGACAGTAAGGTCCCTGCCGGCTCAGCAAGCAGGTGCCGGTTCTGCTCGGCACGCCAGGTCTGCCCTCCTAGGCTGGGGCTTCAGCCTCCAAGAGACCATCATGTCCCACCATTGAAAAGCCTTTGTGGACCCAGAATTCTACCGTAGACTTTTGCTGGCTGCATGATGACACCTTCCTCGCTGAGACTGAAAGATAATTTCTTTTTAATTGATTTTTTTACCACTATGAACAGTAAAATAAGAAAAATCTATGCTGCAATTTTTCCATTTGTGAAAACCGAAGTTACACCTCGCAGCCAATTCCCTCAGAGCGTGAACTCCTCCCTCCTTTATTTGTCTCTTTCCTTTAAATGCAAGAAAACAGATCTCTTTTTCTTTTCCTCTGGAATACTGAAAGTTTATGATTTGAGAAAGGGGCAAGGTGTGGGACAATCTCCCACATAACACGGAACAAAGGGCTAGGGAGGCACCTCTGATGAAAAGAGATTTCTGTAAATACACGAGAAAGCGATTCTGTTGACACCTCATTCTTCTGTCTGTAGCACGTACAAATGACAACAGGATATGTTGTTTTAACACCAGACAATGAAGCTCCCTGCTTTCCACTGCTCGCCGGTGATGGCACTGGCAGCTTTGTTCTCGCAGGTTCTGGCGATGCCCCCCTTTTAAGCTCCTAGGCCTTCCAGAAACAAGCTTTCCTTTTGAACCCTGGGTCCGAGCCAGATAGCAATACCTGCTCCTCGCGCAGCGCTGGGGAACAGCGGCCGCGAATCCATAAAACATGCCCTAAATCCATCCCATCCGTATTGACTGGTACTTTTAGCATTGGCCATAAAGACTGGCTTTGTGTGAAGTATTGAGAGAAGAACCGAAACCTGCAGAGAGGCTCTCCCCGAATTAACCTCCCCGAGGCTCCAGATCACATTCCGGGAGGGCTGAGGCGCGTCTCATTAATGGGCAGCCTCTTGGCTCCTGATACGATTTAATGTTAGCCAGATGTTGCTGGAGTCCGACCTTGGTGGGAGTATTTACCTGTGATATGAAACTGGCATGAAAAGGGCCGCTCCTCCAGTTTGACCTCAGCCCGCAGGACCCGACTGTGACCACCCCTTGGTGCAGGCTGGCAGGTGGGAGGGCATTCGCGATTCCTTAGCTTCTGGGGTCACTGTCACCACCTCCCTCTCACTGCCCGTCCTGTGCTCCCTGCAGGTGTTCAGGCTCCAGGCTGGGTGGGGCCAACTCTCCTAGCCATCCACCATGGTGGTGGCACACCCCACCGCCACCGCCACCACCACACCCGCTGCCACTGTCACGGCCACCGTCGTGATGACCACGGCCACCATGGACCTGCGGGACTGGCTGTTCCTCTGCTATGGGCTCATTGCCTTCCTGACGGAGGTCATTGACAGCACCACCTGCCCCTCAGTGTGCCGCTGTGACAACGGCTTCATCTACTGCAACGACCGGGGCCTCACCTCCATCCCCTCGGACATCCCTGATGACGCCACCACCCTCTACCTACAGAACAACCAGATCAACAACGCCGGCATCCCCCAGGACCTCAAGACCAAGGTCAGCGTGCAGGTCATCTACCTGTACGAGAACGACCTGGACGAGTTCCCCATCAACCTGCCCCGCTCGCTCCGGGAGCTGCACCTGCAGGACAACAACGTGCGCACCATTGCCAGGGACTCGCTGGCCCGAATCCCGCTGCTGGAGAAGCTGCACCTGGACGACAACTCCGTGTCCACCGTCAGCATCGAGGAGGACGCCTTCGCTGACAGCAAGCGGCTCAAGCTGCTCTTCCTGAGCCGGAACCACCTGAGCAGCATCCCCTCGGGGCTGCCGCACACGCTGGAGGAGCTGCGGCTGGACGACAACCGCATCTCCACCATCCCGCTGCACGCCTTCAAGGGCCTCAACAGCCTGCGGCGCCTGGTGCTGGACGGGAATCTATTGGCCAACCAGCGCATCGCCGACGACACCTTCAGCCGCCTGCAGAACCTCACGGAGCTCTCGCTGGTGCGCAACTCGCTGGCAGCGCCGCCCCTCAACCTGCCCAGTGCCCACCTGCAGAAGCTCTACCTGCAGGACAACGCCATCAGCCACATCCCCCACAACACGCTGGCCAAGATGCGTGAGCTGGAGCGGCTGGACCTGTCCAACAACAACCTGACCACGCTGCCCCGCGGCCTGTTCGACGACCTGGGGAACCTGGCCCAGCTACTGCTCAGGAACAACCCCTGGTTCTGTGGCTGCAACCTCATGTGGCTGCGGGACTGGGTGAAGGCACGGGCGGCCGTGGTCAACGTGCGGGGCCTCATGTGCCAGGGCCCCGAGAAGGTCCGGGGCATGGCCATCAAGGACATCACCAGCGAGATGGACGAGTGCTTCGAGACGGGGTCGCAGGGCAGCGTGGCCAATGCAGCCGCCAAGACCACGGCCAGCAACCATGCTTCTGCCACCACTCCCCAGGGCTCCCTGTTCACCCTTAAGGCCAAAAGGCCGGGGCTTCGCCTCCCCGACTCCAACATTGATTACCCCATGGCCACAGGCGATGGGGCCAAGACCCTGGCCATCCACGTGAAGGCCCTGACAGCAGACTCCATCCGCATCACGTGGAAGGCCACACTTCCCGCCTCTTCCTTCCGGCTCAGCTGGCTGCGCCTGGGCCACAGCCCGGCCGTGGGCTCCATCACAGAGACCTTGGTGCAGGGGGACAAGACGGAGTACCTGCTCACGGCCCTGGAGCCCAAGTCCACCTACGTCATCTGCATGGTCACCATGGAGACCGGCAATGCCTACGTGGCCGATGAGACGCCCGTGTGTGCCAAGGCAGAGACGGCCGATAGCTATGGCCCTACCACCACGCTCAACCAGGAGCAGAACGCTGGCCCCATGGTGGGCCTGCCTCTGGCGGGCATCATCGGCGGGGCCGTGGCTCTGGTCTTCCTCTTCCTGGTCCTGGGGGCCATCTGCTGGTACATGCACCAGGCTGGTGAGCTGCTGACCCGGGAGAGGGCCTACAACCGAGGCAGCAGGAAAAAGGACGACTATATGGAGTCGGGGACCAAGAAGGACAACTCCATCCTCGAAATCCGCGGCCCCGGGCTGCAGATGCTGCCCATCAACCCATACCGCGCCAAAGAGGAGTACGTGGTCCACACCATCTTCCCCTCCAACGGCAGCAGCCTCTGCAAGGGGACGCATACCATTGGCTATGGCACCACACGGGGCTACCGGGACGGCGGCATCCCCGACATAGACTACTCCTACACGTGATCCCCGCCCGCCTGCCCGCCCGCCACCCAGGCTGCCCCACCCCAGCCCCAGCTACCCTGGCGTGGCCATGTGGCTTTGCCCAGCCTGCTGCAATCTGAGAGAGCAAGGAAGAGAAATTCCATGGGTGACTTTCCCCCCCCCAAGAAAGCAAAGCTTGACGATTTTGTAGAACACAACAGTGACCTTTTTTTTTTTTTTCTTTTTTAAAGAATAGAAGGCAGGAGGGGGAATTCAACATTGTTGAAGATGTAATTTATACCGAGTTATGCCAGTTGGGGAGGAAAGGACTAAAAATAGTATCGCAGAAGGGCTGGGTTGGGTTTTTTCCTGAACTGGAAGGATACTACCTGTACCACATCTGTGGACACCTCATGCTCTGTTCAGGGCCATCACAAAGGAACCGCCGGGGAGAAGCAGCCGGCTCTCAAAGCTCCCACGCAGCTCTCCCGCCGGCCACTCGCTGGTGGCGTGATGGAAGGTTTTCAGGCTCCTCACAAAGGAGAGGGGGAAGAAAAGATATTCTGCCCTGGAGATGTGGTCCTGAAATCTCTCCCCGGCTCATTCCATACCATTTCCCTTGCAGATCTGCAGAAACATGGCGTCTTTCACTGCATATTCTTCAAACAATCATGTAGTCGATTAAAAAAAAAAAACAAAACTTTTTTCCTAGGCTGAAGCCCTCTTCAGTTCCATGCACCATGCTCTGTAGAAGCCCCGGCGGAAGCCCGTAGCTTTCCCCGCCACCTGGAGGTGCATCTGTCTGCCCGTCTATCCCTGCCATGCTGTCTCTAAGTACAGATGGGTAGATAGAGCCACATGCACGGTCCTTACCATTCTTCTGGGGCCAGTTCTTACCATTTCCTGAGACAATAGAATTGCGAAAGTGTTGCTTTCTCCTAGAAATCATTGAGTAAGTAGATGATGTGTTGGGGATGGGAGTGAGGTGGGGGGAGGAGACTCGATCTCTGGGGGCTGTCACTGTTCCTAAAGGCTGAGGCATGTGTGTTGCAGACTGGTGGCTTAGGGAGGCGTCGTGGCAGGGATTTCCAGTTCCATCTCAGTTCAGCTTGGCCAGAGCTGGGCTGCTCTCCTTTCTGATACAGAGAAAAGCTTTATTTTATTCCAGTGTCCTCATCTTCCTCCCCATCAGGTGCAATCACCTTAACAGCTACTTTCTGTAAGCATTTACCGTGTGCTGAATGTTCCCTCCTAGGACGGGTAATTAGTGCAGGGATTTTTTTTTTTCTATAAGCTCATTAGACCTATTGGTTTCCATGGCTGCTCAAAGCCCAGAAAAAGACACAAAAATTCTCGAAAAAGCCCTGGGTGATGGCAACCCCTACCTGAATGCAGAAAACTCAGCTGTGCCCGCCCCTGGGACTCTGTTTCTTGAGAGGGAGAGACCAGATCTCTTTCTAAAAACAGGAGACTCACAAAGGGCCCTGACCGGGGCCCTCAGAAGAGTTAAGATTTTATTTCTTCCCTCTAGAATCAATGTCGCTATCATTCATTTATCAAGTGACAGTGCAGTGTGGCGAGCCATGAGATTAAAACGATGATGAAATAATGACAGTGAATCGGAGAGCGGGAAGAGCAGAGCCTGGGGTTCTGACGTGCCTGCGTCCCAGTACTCGGGGAGCCCAGGTCACCATCTGTCACCCTGTCGCTTGTTCTGCACCGAGGAAAAGCAACGTCAAAGAGGAGATGCTGGTTGGAGGGCAGGAGGATGAGAGGGCTGGGAGCGCCTGGCGGTGCTGTTTTCAAACAGCCTCTGCTGCCGCGAGAAAGCAAAGGCAGAAGCAGCGTCGGGCAGGGGTTACATTAAAAGGCCCGACAGGCGCCTTCAGGGAGGAGATGCGGCTGAAAGGAGTGGATACAACAGCCGCTCATGGAAAGTGGAAAGAGGGGCACAGGATCCCAGCGAGACCCCGGGGGGCTGGCTCACAAAACAGGCCACTCCCCAGCCCCGGGGGACAGCCAAGCAGGGTGGGCACCTTTTACTCCCAACTAGATGCGTTTTCCCTTTTCCTGCCTGAATCATTTTCTCATACAATGAGGTCAAGAGAGAAATTTCTTGACTTTTATACAGGCTTTAATGTGAGGTCTGTATAAAAGTCAGCCCCAGGCTGGGTTCCGTGGCTCACGCCTGTAATCCCAGCACTTTGGGAGGCTGAGGTGGGCAGATCTTCTGAGGTCAGGAGTTCAAGCCTGGCCAACACGGTGGAACTCCATCTCTACTAAAAATACAAAAATTAGCCAGGTGCGGTGGTGGGTGCCTGTTACCCAGTTACTTGGGAGGCTAAGGCAGGAGAATTGCTTGAACCAGGGAGGCGGAGATTGCAGTGAGCCAAGATGGTGCCACTGCACTCCAGCCTGGGCAACAGAGTGAGACTCCATCTCAAAAAAGAAAAAAAAAATGTCGGCCCTCCTTGTGGACCACAGCCCCCCACCCCAGATGAGCAGAGGGGCCTGCCGGGGATGTCTGGGAGGAGAGAGGGCCTGAGGTGTGCTGTGATGGCACGGGGGACAGAAGTCCTAGGTCTCTATGAATTCTGAAATGAGACCCCCCTCCATGAAGGACATCACTCTGATCACTGCCTTCCCCCGAGTCCTGCACATCTGGCACACACTGCTGCCAGCACACTGTCCCCACCTTACTGAGGTCCCCCTGTGTCCTCTCCCCACCCTAGACAGTTCAGGTCACACCCTTAGTGGCTAAGAAGGCATCTGGGGACAGCAGGTGGCCCAGACTGTGAGAGCTGCCTGGGAAGGCCCCACTTGGCCTGTGCCTAGCCATGCCCTCCAAGACCAGAAGCCCGGCCAGCCACCCCAGAGAAGCTCCTCGGGCCCCAGGACCACGTGAATCTCCTGCTCCCGGTTCTTGCACTAACGGGGTGAGGGCGGGGCTGGGCCTCTCTTACCAGACCCTGCCGGCCCCTCAGCCTCGCCGAGTGCTGCTGAAGGTGGACACTCCACCCAGTCAGGCCCTGGGACCCAGCTCTGAGAGCTGACTTTCTCTTCTTTTTTGCCGCTTAGCTATCCTGGCACCTTCCCAGGGTCCTCTCTGGGCTTTCCCAAAGCAAACCCCCAAATATCTGCTGTGTCACAGCCCCCCCCAGCCAGGGAGGGGGCCAAAAGCTGGGTCCATGCTGAAACCCCATCCCCTCTTGGTCCAGCTCCTCCCAGCTGGCCTGGTACAAGATAGGAGATGTTTCAGGATGCCCAACCTGCCCCTCCCGTTAGACGTGCCGAGGCCTGGGGTGCCAGCCCTGGGCTGTCTAGATTCTCGCAGGCTCCCACGCACAGCCGACAATTCCGAGGGGAAGCCTGAGGCCAGGCTCACCCTCACAGCATCTAAGTAGGCAGAACAACCTCAGCGGCCTCAGCGCTGACGAGTACGTATTGTGGCATTTAGGGCAGGTCTAAAGTTAAAAATAAAAAAGCCCACGACACTTCTCTGGTTAAGTGGTTTACCCTTCGTGGTAATTAGATGTAGTGATTGGAATCTCTTTTCTATTACATGGCAATTTTCCTTTAAATTTCCCCTAAAAAAAAAAAAAAAAAAAAAAAAGGAAAGAAAAGGCAAGGAAGGAGAGAGAAGAGAGAAGGCAGCAGCAGGCCGGGAGGCATTTGCATTTTTCGAATGAGGCCTCTTGTAAGCTCAGCTCAGGCGTGGGGCCCAACGTATGGAATGCTTAAGAGATTACTAAAAATAAAATCTATTAATTAGTCATACTCAATTCCGCAGACATGATGTGCATCAAAAGCTCCTTTTCTTCCCTTTTCTCCTTCCCCGTTCCCTCGGCCTCCTGCCGCAGCCTCCATCTTCTCTAAATGGGCTGGAGTGTGCTAGACCACCTCCATGCTAAACTGGTGCACATGGTGGCCAGGGGCCTCCCCAGCTCAGGGCTGGGATGTGGGTCTGGAGCCAAGAGCTGAGGCACTGCACCTTCTTCGCTCTGGGTGATGCTGACAGGGGAGGGGACAGCCCCTGAAGATGGCAGCAGCTGGGAGGGGCCCAACCTGACTCTCCCAAAGCCCACACCTGCTGTGTGCCTCTTCTCCCTCCCTCCATGCAGGTACCAGGTCTCCTCCTTCCCCTGGGGGTCCAGGAAGAGGGGCTGGGCACAGTGGCTCACGCCTATGATCCCAGCACCTTGGGAGGCAGAGGCCAGCAGATCACTGGAGGTCAAGAGTTCGAGACCAGCCTGGCCAACGTGGCGAAATCACTTCTCTACTAAAAATACAAAATTAGCTGGGTGTGATGGCGCATGCCTGTAATCCTAGCTACTAGGGAGGCTGAGGCAGGAGAATCACTTGAAACCAGGAGGCGGAGGTTGCAGTAAGCAGAGATTGTGCCACTGCACTCTAGCCTGGGTGACAGAGCAAGACTGCATCTCAGAAAAAACAAAACAAAACAAAACAGGAAAAGAGCCGAGGAGGGTGTCAGGGAGATGTTTCTAGAGAGGTGCAGGGAAAGTGGGTTTGGCAAGAATACAGCCTCTGTTTCTCCTTCTGTAAAATGGGGGTGTACTGGGGCGGGGTCCAGCTTCTCTCAGGAAACTGGGGCTCCAGAGGCCAACAGGGGGCACCTCCCCTCCACTGGTGCTGAAAAGTTCTTGTTGGCCTAAGTCAGGTGAGGGGTCCCAGCAGGGTAGGAGGGGCTGGTCAGAGACTGAGCAGGGGACAGGCCGGGCACCCAAGGCTGCCCCTGAATCTGTGCCTTCCTCCTCCACCCCCGCTCCCCGGGAGCCAGGAGAGAAGGAGAAAGAGCAGACCCTCCCCCTCAAAAATGGCAGCTCGAATCCCAAAGCCAGCCCTCTTCAGAAACCTGCTTCCTGTCGAACGAACGTGCCAGAGAGGAGACTGGGGCTTCTGAGCCTCACACTTATGAAAAATATAAGGAGAACTGGATGTGGCAGAGAGGGAGCAAGGGGGCGGGGAGGGCAACGGGAAGAGCGGGGACAGTGCTGGCAGGAGGGGCCAGGTGCAGAGACCTGTGCCTCGAAGGGCCAGACCTTGCTCTCAGGGCCAGGACGCAGCCAGGGTCAGCAGCCGGCGTCCACGTACCTCCTCATACTCGATCGCGCAGGTGACGGCGGCTGCTGCCTGCCCCTGGATGGGTGCCAGGGCGAGCACTCACACGCGATTCTCAGCCCCAAGTCAGCCTTCCCAAGCGCAGAGGGGAGGCATTTTTTTTTTCTTTAGGGATAAGAAGGCTCAAAAACGTAAATCATTACCGTTTACAACCAAGCAAGTCTGTGAAACTGATTAGGAGAAATTAAACTCCTTGGAGGTGAAGGGAAAGAGGGATTTTCCGAGGTATATGGACCCGCCCCAAGTGGCTATCTGCATGAAAGGAGCTTTCTGGGCCTCGAGGTGGGGGGCCGAGATGGGGGTGCCTGCCCCGGCTTGGCTCCCCGGGGAGCCAGGGTCTCTGAAGGCCAACACCAAATGGGCCAGAGCACTCAGGCTTGAGTCTCCAACACTGCCCTAGGGAAAAAGGCTCTGGCCTCTGGGACAAGTGGCCCATCCAATCCTCAGAGAGCAAGACTCTAGAGCTGTGGGCTTTTCTGCTTCCTTTCTGTTCTGGGTGGGTCTGTCTCCAATCCATTCCTTGTGGCCGGTGAAAGGAGAGTGGGTAAAAGGAAAACTGGAGGTCAGGGAAGAGAAACTTGAGCCTGGCAAAGGAAGCAGGCAGTGAGCTCTCCGTCACTGGGAGCATTCAAGCACTAGATGGGCAGATATTTTCCTGGCAAGGATATTTTCCTGCTTTGACTAGAAGATCCTGGCTCCCACCCTTGCTTTCCCATCCCCCAGGACCCTGAAAGGGAGCATATATCAAGAGATCTTCACTGTGTGGCTCAAAATCACTGGTGTCCCCTGAAAACCCCAAGTCAGGGGGTCCTGTAGCCAGAGCAGCCCGCCACAGAGCCGCTTGTGCCACCAGAGAGGCCGCAAAATACCCATCCTCAGTGTGCAGGAGGCACCAAGAAAGTACAGACATGCGCCACCCCCTTTCCAGAGTCTAAACTCAGCACCTATGGCTCACCGGAGGGGAGGCGCCGATGAGAGCGCCTCCTGGGCCCTGTGGCTCCGAAGCCTGACCGTGTCCAGGCCTGTCTCTCAAGCCAGGGCCACCCCACATGCAATCTAGCATGTCCCACGTGCAGTCCAGCATGCTGGATGCTGCTCCATGCATCCATCACGCAGGCGGACAGCGCCTGGGGCACTTTTCACTCTGGTTGTGAGCGTTTACTGTTTCTTTTGAAATGTTCCAAGTAGGTGCCTGAAATACTCATGTTTGCTTGTTTTTAAAAACTCACAAAAAGATTCTGTTTGCTCTCCATCCCCTCCCTTGGAATTTTCAATCTGTGGTTTTTCCCTGGTTTTGGAAATTCCAAAGTGGGGCCAGGCCCCCTTTCTCACCACAGACAGATTTGTGGTTGTGCCTGGAGACCCCCAGAGCCACAGAGCAAAGCCTGGTCTTTTCTCCACGTCTCCCTCGGAGACTGGGACAGCTCCAGCTTCTGGCACCTGCTGGAGACCCTGACCAGGGCATGGCTGAGACCATTGTCACTGTCCCCTTCCACCCCTTGTCACTGAAATGCCTGACCTGTGCCAGGAGAGAGTGTGGGCATGCTGAGGGCATAGGGCACCCTGTGGGTGGAATGACCGCCCCCACATCCTAACAAAGACAGCCCCTAAACCACTGTGGTCATCAAATCACAGTGCCCTGGCCCGCGGCCTCTCCACAGCTGCAAGCCCAAAGCTAAGCCCAGAGAGTCCTCGAAGGAAGGTGTTTACTGCCACCAGCCCCAAATCTCATCAAGGCAGATGGTCAGAGTCAGTGCCCTGCCCTTCCCAGGGCCACCAAGGCCCAGCACAGCGCCTGGCACACAGGGGCACTCAATCCTTTCTCCACAACAATGGAACGAGGCCACTTCCTCCTCTCACTTCCTCCCCACTTGCCGTCTGCCCACTCAGTGAGGATGGCCCAGCCATGGGAGTCGGCAACAAATGGCTTCTCTTGTCCTGCACCTGCCCCGCCGGCGGCTGGCACGGGGAGGGGCTCATCTTGGCAGCTTCACCTCTCGGAAGCACTCCGATCCGATCTGCTCTGCCTCAGATCCATGCAACGCCAGCTGTGAGCCAGATGGAGAAACGCAGCCACTCTGCGAGATCCGGTGGCTGCCTCCACCTGCATGAGTGACTCAGTTTCCCTTCTCCAAGACCTGCCAAGAGTGGATGACAAGGGGGAGAGACCTGGGGGAGGGGCCCACAGAGCCACTGCAAGAAAGCCGGATCCCAGGCGACGCCCGCTGCCTTGCCTGCAGCCCCCGCAGAGTCCCTGCACCCACCTGGAGGAACTAACCAGGCTTCCTCTTTAGACAGGAAAAAATAAATGCACCACAGTCCGACAATCAAAGCCACAGACGCGGGGCGCCACCCGCTCATCTCCCTGGAGCCTCTCTCACCTTCCCCGTATGGAACGCAGGCTTGCACTGTTCTGAGCCCACCCACCTAGAACCATTTTCAAAAGTTCAGAGTACGTGGGTGACAGGACACCCACCCAAAAACCCTGAAACTAGCCTTAGACTGTTTATCCCCAACCCAAAGTACCTCCACACCGCCAGCAGCCCACTGGACACCCAAGGCGAGCCACTAGGGACTTCACGGGACCCTGCCTGGTGCCTTCCAGCTCATAGGAGAGGCTGAGAGCTGCAGGGAGGAAGCCACACAGAGCAGCGTTCAGGGCTTGTCATCTGAGAGGAAGAGGAGTGGGGAGAGAGAGGCCGGAGGGTGGTGGGTGCCGGGCGTCTCAAGCTAGCCAGAGCGAGGGGTGCCTGTGGGATTCTGCTGATGGGAGCCACTGAGGCAAGTGTGAACAGGGAGCTTATCTAAAAGAACCCGCACCCCTGCAACAACCACAGAGGAAGTGTAAGAGCCAGCAACACTCATTCCCTTTCCGGATGTTAACAGGTTATTTGTATCTTGTGTGGTGTCATAAAGCATTCTGGAGTAGCACACGGTGTCATCCCCTTCCCGGTGGTCTGAAGTGTAGGAGGAGGCCAGGGAGGGGTCCCTAGAGAATGGGGTTCGTCCTTCTGTTCTGTAGAAGGCAGGAAGCCCGCCAGCTAATAGCACGGGTCAGAGGCGCAGGCCTGATCTCACCCAAGACTGTGACCGAGGTCCTGTCTGATGTCCAAGGGGCCCCTCGCTGGCACCCCCAATTCCCAAGTCCCCCAGCCTTCCTCACCGGCAGAATCAGCGCCCAGGTGCAGCGCTCTCTTTCCTTCTTCTTGGAAGTGGTCTCAGGGGCCTGAGTGACAGGCCTGATCACCCTGCCCCTGCCCACTGCCCCATGACCAGATGGCTGACCCGGCCTGGCTCCTCAGCTCCCCAGGGCCCAGGCCAGCCCGGCCTCACACCCACCTGCCTTGCTCCCAACCTCACCACCAGGCAGGGGTTTCTAGAAAACTGAGACACACAAACACCCACCACGACAACGACACAAACCAAAGTGCACTGCGAACCGCCCTTTGGCCTCCTTCTTGTAGGTGCCTTGAAATTTCAATGTTGAGATGAATGTGATTAACTACTTGGTCCTATTTTCTGTTTGTCTGTTTTCATATAAAATGTCCAAGTCCACTTGCCTTGTTCTTTCTTGAAATAAATAGAAAGATTTAACTTTTACGGTCATCTCTGCTGCTGATTCTCGGCTTGGCACCCCAACGGGCCAGGAGCCAGGTGTCCAGGGCACACATGGTCTCAGCGGCCCTCACCCCTCCCCAGGCCTTGCCCCAAGGGTCAGCTCTGTTCTTGGCTCAGAAGCGGCAGCCGGGCAGGATGGAGACCCTGTTCCCTTGGGCACCGTTCCAGCCAAAATGATTCCACAATGGGAAGAAGGACCCCCTGTCCCCACCCACAGGCCCCAGAGGTCTACTGACACTTGAGTCACCACGAGGGGACCCAGAGCTGAAAGTAGACTCAGAGGGTCTCTACATGGAGAGGTGTGTGTCACCGGAGCTGTGGGTTATCCTGGAAGAGGTTCCAGCAACCACGTGGCACCCGGATAAAAGTGGGACTGTTGGGTGTTTGGGGACATGAGTTTATGCCACCACCTCAGTTGGCCGCCATCCCCTAGATGTGCCCGTAACACTCACAGCTCTGGAGCATCATCTCCCTCTCGCACACCCCAAAGGGAGGGGGACAGGAAGGGAAAACTTTCCATGAGAACAATAGCAGTTTCTGCTAAATTTAACATAAAACAAGAACCCATTACTTCTGCCTGAGCTCCGATTTCACGTCTGGGTACAGTTAACGGTATTTCCTTATATTCCGAGGAAGCAAAATTAATTCTTGGTGGCAGGTGGCCCTGGGTGGGGTGACGTGGGCCCCACAGGTGCTCTCTGCCCCCCACCTCAGTCTTTACCTCCCGTCCTGCTGGGGCTGGAGCCGACCAAGAGAGACCATTCTAACGTGCTGCACGCAGTGTGACCACAGGGAGAGGGCCCCAAGGCTGTTTTTCCAACTTCTCCCTCGGACCCAGCGCACAATGGGTGCCCAGGAGGGCTGCCCACTCCCTCACCCGAGACCCATTCTCTGGGGCTGCCGAGAGATCTTTCTGGAACACAGCCAGCCAGTAGACAGCCTACTACACACTGGGGCTGGTGTAATCCTGACTCGCAGAGGAGCGGGGAAGAATCTCCGTGGCTGAGTGGGGGCCTGGCCTGGGTGGGTTTCCACAGAGGATGCTTCCAAGGATGAGGAGGACTAGGAGGCCTGGCACACCGCTTACCCAAGGCAGGCAGGAAGGCAGGTCCACTTCTGGTCCGCTTCCCTCAGGAAGGCCCTGCGTCCCCCCATCTCCCTGTCGCCCCTCTCAGACTCCAGTCACAGCTCAGCCCTGCCCTCTGCCCCCGAGGCTCAATGTGGCTGAGACTCCAGGTCTGTGCTGTGCTGGCTTCCTCGGCTGTCCCGCCCCAGGGCCCCGTGCTTTTGTTGGCTTTCCTCGCCTGTGCAGGTGACCCTGCCAGCACCTCACTCGGCTGGGCCCACACTGACAGGTCTTGCCCCAACACCTCCTGATCCCCAGAGGGCACTGGCCTGGCACCAGGAGGCCCCGTAAACAGGAATGAAGAGTGAGTCAATGAACAGTAAATCAATCAGCTGATTGCTCCATGGATCCACGTGAGGACGGGGAGGACGACTCTCCAAGCACAATAACCCTTGCCAACACCAATGTCCCCACCCTTCCCCTAGGGAGTCCTGCTCCCGGCTTGTATGGCAGTGCCACAAATCTGGGGACACCTGTGGAGCCCTCCAAGCCGGGGAAGAAGGGCTACGTTCTCGAACTGTGTTCCTCAGCCCCTGGAGCTCACAGAAGTGCTGCTCAGAAGGGTTCCCGGTCACACGGCTTCGGGAAGCATCGGATTAACAGCACTGCCCTCCTGGGGTAGGGCCTTGGAGTCCCTGGTGCTAGGTTAGACCCATGGGCTCCACCAGTTACTGACTGTGCTACTCTGCCTCTCTGTGCCTCAGTTTCCCGGCTGCTGTTGGGAGGATGAGGTGGGATGACACAGGTAAAGCTGCTGGGCATGCCCAGCTCAGAAACCATCTGCACTGACCTTACGGCTGGGACGTGGCCTCTGTGAGGGGTGTGGGAGGCCAGGGCGCTTTCAGTTTGTCCGGGGAGTGCAGGCCTCCCCCACCCCCCACCGCTAGCACAGCCTCCTGGGGAGTTTGGCCCACACTCGTGGCCCCCAGGGATGAAGCCAGGTGTTGAGCTGCTGGCACTCCTTGCAGGGAGGCCCAGGTTCTTGGCAGGACCTTTGGAGCCTAGCAGCAAAGTGCCTCCAGGTCCAGCGCAGAGAGGTATCCATATTGGGTAGGGCCTGTTTCTCAAACCCCCCAACCCCCGCCAGGTCCACGGGCTGCTGAAGAGGATAACAGCTGGCTGCAGCCTTAGGCTTCAGGACAGGAGGTGGGCATGGGGGCATCTTGGGTTTTAATGAGGCCACACAGGAGGGAATGGCCAGGACCTGCATTTCAGGAATGGAAGGAAGACTCTCCAAATATAACCCAGTTCTGAAGAAGGCAGGGAGCCTCCCGTTCTTACAGGAGACCCAGCAGGGCTGGCCAGGGACTCAAGGGAACTGCACAGGACCTGCTGGTCCCCCAAAGCCCTGCCACTATGTCTTCAGCAGGATGCCAGGAGATGGGGTGTCCCCCCAGAAACCTGCATCCCCACTACTGCAGCCCGCACTGTGCCACCCTCCAGCCAACTGAGTTTGGGCCCTTTCCTTCCCCACAAATCTCTCAGGACTTGCATTATTACTGAGATTAGGGGCACATGTGGGTAAGACCCCCGAACAGCTACCCTGTGGCCAAGGGGCACCCCAAGCCCCGGGGCCCCGGCTTTGTGTAACTGACATCATCTGTTTGATCAGACTCAGGACTAAAAGTTCCCGCCCAAATGGGAGAAAGAGTGGGTGATGCCTTAGCCCTCCATGGCCACTTTCCTGTACCTGGAAACTGCCTTGCCTGGCTACCACTGGGTTCTGGAAGCTTCCCTTCTGCCCCTACTTCCCAGGACGGGTCCCTAGCCTCACTGAGCATCCTGGAAAGGAGGCGTCCAAACCCGGGAGGGGTCTAACACCCCAGGCCACACCCCTACACCCAAGTTCTGCGGCTGAGTCTTATCTCCCAGCCTAGGAGGGTTCTGGACGCATGGGAGGGCACCCAGCCGGCCCCGAAATTCTGCCTCCGTGGGTCTGACATTGGCTCATCCATTTTCAGGCACCCCAAATAAAGCGTGCTTCCAGGACCCCCCCATATGCCGCTGCCTCCCTGCCTCCATACCCACATCACCTTCCAGCACTGACACTGCCACCTCCCTGCCCACCCTGTCCAGCACCTCCTGAGGACCTTCTCCTCCTGCGGCAAAGTAAACAGGCTCTCTGGAGTGCTAACTGACAGCACAAATGAAATCCTGCACTCCCCCCCAGGAGATTTACAGGGGAAGTGAAATCTTATTTGCAATGCTGCCAAGCCTGGGACGAGATGAAATTATGCCTCAAGAAGAGACCCGGCCAGCCCCGAGAAGCAGCACCGCACTGGAGATGGGCTTATTAAAGCCACGGCGGCCACATTTCAACCTGTTTCAGGTGTTAAGTAATTTACTGCCACCCAGAATTCAGTGGCAGGTTTTTATCATTTTCATTCTTGTGATACAGGCGAGTGCCCCAGAGGTCCCCGAGCAGGGAGCTGTGGATCTAAATGCTCCCTGTCACCCCCGCCCCAGGCACTGCAGAGGGAAATGGGGGGCAGCAGCCTAAAGGGGGTGAGGACACTCTCTCTCCAGGGTTACATCTGGCTTGGCCATAGCTCAGAGTGACAGGGAGGGCAGGCTTTAGGACCCCCACCCACGTGTGGGGGCTCTGTGATCCCTCAAAGACCCTCAGAATTTTTTTTTTTTTTTTTTTTGGAGGGAGTATTGCTCTGCCACCCAGGCTGGTGTGCAGTGAGGTGATCTCAGCAGCCTCCACCTCCCAGGTTCAAGCAATTCTCCTGCCTCAGCCTCCCGAGTAGCTGGGTGTATAGGCATGTACCACCAGGCCCGGCTAACTTTTGTATTTTTACTAGAGATGGGGTTTCTCCATGTTGGCCAGGCTGGTCTTAAACTCCTGACTTCAATGATCCACCTGCCTCAGCCTCCCAAAGGGCTGGGATTATAGGCATGAGCCACCGTGCCTGGTCCCTCAGGATGTTTTCTGAAGGCAGCAGGAGTGTAAGCTCTCTGGGAGCAGAGACTACCCTTGTTACGTCTGAGTGAGTTGTTAGGAAAATGCCACCCTTTGAAATCTGATTGATTCCTTTATTGCTGGCGACCGAGAGTCAGCTCATTCTCAAAATCTCTCGGCCCCGAGGAAGAAGTTTGATTTCCTTTTATATGTTGCTCAGGGCAAGGGGGCAAAGAGGAATTTTACAGAAGCAGCATAAGCAGTTAGGGAAGGAGGCTGGTAACTAGGAGGCAGGAGGCTCCCATGATCGTTGATTAACTAAAGAGGGTATACACAAGCAGTTCCCATGATTGCTGGTTACCAAGGTGGGGGGGCATCCGGTACTTTTCATATAATCAACCAAGGGGCTATTCACAATAGCAAGTGGGCTTGTCAAGCAGGGTATAGTTACAACAGTTATGTTTATATAGCCCTAAGCACAACATGACCCAGCCCAGGTATGCACTCGAGGGAGGAATGGCAGGGGGAGAAGCCAAGATGGAGTCAGTCAGGCTCACATCTAAGATGGAGTTAGTTTGGTTCATCTCACCCTGTCTCAGTATGTGACTACCAACCAAGCTTTTATTGAGCACCTACTGTATGCCACGCCCTGATCAGATGGGGAACACGTAGCACATGGGACCAAGGGCCCCCTGCCCCATGGAGCTCAGGTGCTGCCTGCCGGTAAGCGTTGAGTAAATATTTGTGGTTGGTTGATGAAAATCTCCTAGAGGCAAACAGGCCCTTGAAAGTGAGGCCTCCCGACTCGGGAGCTGCTGGGGCCAGGTCTCTGCACCTTCTCCTGCTCTGGAGAACTCTGCAGAAAGGGCTGATACTCCGTCTCAACTCATGAGGAACACAGTCTCCCATTCATAGGGAGCTGGAAACAAGGGGACCTGCAGTCTGGGACCC